GCGACGTCGAATAAGAGAATTCCTACCCTATTATCATTCCTCATGTGTGCTGAACGGCGACTAGCAAGGATGTGCTCCGTGAGGCGGTGCACTTGTAGGACGCTCGAGTGACCGGCTCTAAAACCGAACTGTTCGTCGGGTATAATGTTTAGTGAATTGACGCATTTTTTAATCCTTGCTAGGATGATGCGTTCGTATATTTTTCCCATAGCAGAGAGAAGACTGATTGGGCGGTAGTTCGAAGCCCTGTCTCTGGGCTTGTTTGGTTTAGCGATACCTATGACATGCGCTACCTTCCACGTGTCGGGGAAGGTAGCGCTCGAGCTGCAGCTGTCGAGAAGTACATTAATTATTGCTACTAATAAGCAGATGAGATGGGCAGGGAGTAATTAAATTACTCTATTGGAGATTGCATCTGGGCCGGGCGCGGAACGTTTTTTAAGGTTTTTGACGATGGTCATGACCTCATCGACCGAAGTATGTTCGAAGGGCGGGCCCGTTGGTGGAGCCGCGGATCTACTTTCCACTTCCTCGTCCACCTTACGTATTTGGCCGGGGTTAGTGGACTGCGTGCTGGGAGAGCATTGAAGCTCGAGATTGTCTGCAAGGCATTCGGCCTTTTCGTCGTCTTCCAACGCCTTACTACCATCGGGCAGGGTCAGAGGAGGCATTGAGGAGACGTTTTCCGATTTGAGATTTCTCGCCAGCTGCCAGAAAGCAGTGTGCGTTGGCGAAATATCCTCCATCAGAGTGTCCCATCGCTTCCCCCTAAGCTCCTGCATGCGCTCTTTAACCTCTCTTTGGAGGCGGCGCATCCTGGTGCGATTTGCATCAGTCCGATAACGGTCGTATGCTCGGGTGGCTGCGTTCTTTTCCCGCAACAGCCGTCGGAGGCCCTCCGGCAATTCGAAGCGGCGATCATACGCTACTACGAACCGCTCGGTTGAGTCACCGACTACAGTTTGGATGTGGGATGTGAGATCGGAGATCGCCTTAAGGGCGGTCTCGCGTGAGTCTATACTATCCGGGATTTTATCTAGGTGAGGTGAACTCGCGTTTTCGAGTCCCTTATATGATTTATCCCAGTCAGTCACGAACTTAGTCGTAGAGACATTCGTGCTTGGCCGGCCTAGTAATAGCTTGACCGGGCGATGGTCAGAATTTAATTCAGAAAGTACTTCTATAGAATGAATCGGTAAGGAGACATTTTTAAGAATTGCAATATCTAATATATCAGGATTGTGAATTGTAGGTATTCTGGTTGGTTCCAGAGGACCTACAACGTCGAAAACTAAGTCATCCTGTGCGCTTAAGGCGAACAGGGCGCGTCCGTTTGCGTTAATACTATAACTATTCCAAGCAGTGTGCTTGGAATTTAAATCACCTGCTATTATCACCGAGTCGCTTAATTTAGCAGTGCCTCGATGTCGCCCTTTAATATGTGTTTATTAGGTGATAAATAAACAGAAGCTACTGTGATGGGCTGATGGCCTGTCATAGAGATTCTACATACGGACTTTTCGATGTTTACAAGTTGAGGAGGGTCGATCATTATGCAATGAAGAGACGACCTATAATAAATGAGCGTTCCACCACCAGGCCGGTCCGAGCGATCATTGCGTATGATTTTATAATTTGCGATACGCGGATCGCGCATGCTTGACGTGTCTCTTGCACTAGCATTATGTCTACCTGATGGGCAGTTAGAAACTCTCTAATTTCATCCCTACTATTACTATTCAGGGAGTTGGCGTTGAAAAATACGACGGACAACGATTGAGGCTTTACGCTATCGCGGTTGAATTTAATCTCCGTGTTAGTACCGCAGTTAAAATTATTAATGCAGGCCATTATCGCGCGCTTTTTAGAGCTTCGACCACTGCTGCGTGGTCGGCCAGGGCCCTTATACGTTTCTGTATATTTTTCGCGGACCTAATTTAATACGCGATTAAATATACAAATTCACATTAGGGAGTCGAGTTCTGAGCGTTCCCAACGCCTACGAGATTAGAGGGAAAGACAACAAACATCAACGATTAGAGTTCGTAATCGACTTTTAGGTTACAGTAACAGATCAGCTTTAATGCATTAATCTCAACAGTCTTTTGTCCAAATCGGAGCCATGAATAAGATATGCTCTAAGTGTTCTGCCAAAAAATGGGTCGATGAACCAAATGGTATGTGCTGTGCTTCTGGAAAAGTTAGTCTCCCCAATATTGAGGAGCCGCCACAGCCAATAAAAAATCTACCGTTTTACCCTTTGGGTATGGAACCCTAAAAAGGCCCTAGAGATATACTGTTGCACGGTAGACACGGCCAACTTAAAAGGGTCTCTGAGTTACACCGATTGTATGATCCACTAAAATATCTCTTAATAGTCATAATAGGAGAAGACGGTTAATATTTGACTATTCCTCAGCAAGGTACTGTGTGTAACAAAACTGTGACATGCACGCAGTTTTATGCATTTAGGTTGATGGTTAGAGCTATCTGTTTTAATCCATTACATTATTACTGGGACATATTAGGGTTCCGTACCCAAAGGGTAAAACGGCACCCTATTACTAAGACTCCGCTGTCCGTCTGTATGTCCGTATGTCTGTCCATATGTCACCAGGCCGTATCTCATGAACCGTGATAGTTAGAGAGTTGAAATTTTCACAAACGATGTATTTCGTTGTCATTTGTTGCCGCTATAACAATAAATACTAAAAAAAAAAAATATTAATAACAGGGGCTCCCATAAAACAGACATGATTTTTTTGCCGGTTTTATAGATAATGTTGACAGCAGTAGTGTTTTTGACAATATGTAAGAGTAATACTTCTATATTGAATAAAGATATTAAAACATAATTTTTTAATGTGATAGAGTGGCAAACGATCTGGCGGTTCACCTGATGTTAAGTAATAACCGCCGCCCGGACATTTGCAACACCTGTAGGGTTGCAAATGAGTTGCCATCTTTAAATAAAGTGGGCCCCGGTTCACCTGATGTTAAGTAATAACCGCCTCCCGAACATTTGCAACACCTGTAGGGTTGCAAATGAGTTGCCATATTTAAATAAAGTGGGCCCCGGTTCACCTGATGTTAAGTAATAACCGCCGCCCGAACATTTGCAACACCTGTAGGGTTGCAAATGAGTTGCCATCTTTAAATAAAGTGGGCCCCGGTTCACCTGATGTTAAGTAATAACCGCCGCCCGAACATTTGCAACACCTGTAGGGTTGCAAATGAGTTGCCATCTTTAAATAAAGTGGGCCCCGGTTCACCTGATGTTAAGTAATAACCGCCGCCCGAACATTTGCAACACCTGTAGGGTTGCAAATGAGTTGCCATCTTTAAATAAAGTGGGCCCCGGTTCACCTGATGTTAAGTAATAACCGCCGCCCGAACATTTGCAACACCTGTAGGGTTGCAAATGAGTTGCCATCTTTAAATAAAGTGGGCCCCGGCAACCTCTCTCACCAGACGAAAAGTTGAAGTATAACACTTCTATTTTACCCCGGTCTTCTGTGAGGTCGGTACGGAACCCTTCGTGTGCGAGTCCGACTCGCACTTGGCCGGTTTTTATTCAATGCATTGTCGATATGATGGCAAAAAGATATCAGAAAGATTGAATTACATATTATGTCGTAATAACCAGAGACTGAGTGCTGGTGAAACATTCATCTTAGAGATGCTTTAAATCAAGACATTGGCCCATCAAATATCGGTCAACGCGTAATCTGCAACGTCATATTCATTTACAGGTTCTCCGAATATCTGCATTAAAAAACCAAAGATGCGATGATTTATGTCTGAAGCTATGGGAGACCAGACTTATTTGCCACTTTTACGTGTAACCCCGAATGTCCCGTAATTAAAGCGGAACCATTATCTGGTCAGCGATCTTTCGATCTTCATAACGTAATGTCAAGGATATTTCATTAAAAGATTAAGAAATTCATAAAATTATTCACCACAGACGAAACATTCGGAAGGTTTTATGTGTGTGTATGATAATTTTTAATTTTTTGTTAAACTTATTGTTACCCGTGCGAAGCCGGGGCGGCCGCTAGTACATAAATACACATGCAAACATCATATATAAATAACATCATATAATGCGTTAAAAATAATGTATAAATATATAATATAATGTTATAATGTATAATATAATGTATTTATAATAGATATAAGTTGACAACATCGAGGAATGGAACACAATGATTAAGGAGGCATAAAGTGTTTTCTTAAAAGCCGCTTGAAAATAGGTAGCGTTTGTGCCCGCCTAATATGTAGTGGGAGAGAGTTCCAGAGCCGAACAGCTTCCACAGAAAAGGACTTGGAGTAGAAATATGTACTATGGGGAGGGTTTCTGAGGATAAGATTGTCATCAGAGCGGAGAGATCGATCTGGGTGAGAATCACAAAGATACTCAAATCGCTTCTTAAGATAAGGAGGGGTGGTTGGATTGAATAGAACAGAGTATAAGAGCGAAAGAAGGTGAGTATTCCTGCGAAGGCGGATTGGAAGCCACTTGAGCTTATTTCGGAATTCAGAAACGTGGTCATATTTACGAAGTCCAAATATGAAACGTATGCAAAGATTTTGGATACGCTCAAGTTTATTAAGTTGTTCAAGGCTTAAGTCTAAGTAACATGTATCAGCATAATCTAGAATTGGTAAGAGGAGAGATTCCGCGAGCGCAATTTTGGTAGGTATGGGTAACGGCAACGCATTTCTAAGCCCTCTGGTGTTGCAGGTGTCCATGGGCGGCGGTGATCACTTACCATCAGGTGAGCCTCCTGCTCGTTTGCTGCTTTTTCCCATAAAAAAAATGAATTATCATTAATAAACTATTAAACGTAGTAATGTTTTTAAGCTTCTGGACTGGAAAGGATGTGGTATAAACATAGAAAAAACGAAATTCCGATTATATAACTTTACTTAAAACATAAACAAATATGCACTATTTTTCTAAACAATTGTTAGCATGTGAAGTGAATAATGACTTATTCCTTGTCACGGTAATGTTTCAAGTTCACCAACACCCAGGCAGGGACTGCGCACCAGCCGACGAACATAAGACCGGCCAGAAAGATCACCTCCTGTGAATGAGAAAGGTTCACAAGATGAAATATGGAGTAATGGATAAAGAAATCGTTGGTGTAGCTGCTAAGCTTATGGCTTCGGCGCCAGAGTCGTAGGTTCAATTCCCACTCTGGACTAGTATCTGTATGACGAACAGATAGTTGTCCTGGATCTGGCTGTTTGTCCCCATGGAGGGTTAACATTAGGCAGGCGGATGGTCATAAAAAAAAGTTGCCAATACGTCATCAACATGATTTATATGTTGTAGGGACCCCACCTAAGTCAAATAAAGGCAGGCAAAAGAAAAGGATAATCAAGAAACAAAATCATGTTTAGAACAAAAAAGCCCAATAAAAGACCCAATGTCAGACACATCTAACTTGCAACCAAATATATGTGCAGCAATGAGTTCTGTTTCCATCAGAAAAATATTTTTGTCATTATTACTTGTTACATACTTTGGTATGCCTGTTTTATTTTTTTTGTATAATAAATTGTTTTGTATATACTTTTTGTTTGTGTTAATAACTACAGAATCTGGTCAACATCTTGTCTTGTATCTTGTATTAACTGATGTTTTTGCTTTCAGTCCCGAGACTATTAAAGCTTCATCTGACGCAGAACCGGTGGGCTAGCCAGAACCCACGGGTTTGGGCCCTCCGCTGTGGGTAGGGCCACGCATGTGCTCATGCGTGCGTTTAACTATGGTGTGTCATCTAAGGGCCATCGAGGTCGTGGTTCGGACCGAAACCCCGATGGCCGTCGACTGTGCAATTAGCTAATCGGTGGCTGGGGGCGGTGAGAACCGCCCCGGAACGCGGGTGTACCTTGTGTACGCGTTGTGTTGGTCTCGCCGTGCTCGGAGGCGAGGGCGAACTAGTGTGTTTTTTGTTGCACTAACTGTGGGTGTAGTGTTGTCCGGCGGGACCCCCGGCAGTGGGTCCGGCGTGTCTAAGTCCCCTTCCTCGACCGGGTCGATTAGGATGTTTCGCGGGCGACGCTTGTTGACGTTCGCGTTTTTATCGGGTTGGTAATTTGCTGCGCTTACCACCAGAGGGTTGGGATGATGTTCGGCTCTATCGAAGAACCGTTTGGTCAGGTCTTTAAAATATTCGTGAATCGTCGGGAGTCTGCAATCGCTGTGCAGGTCGACGTTGCGTTGATACCACTGCGCACCGGTTGCGCGGCGGATGAACTTATTTTGTACTATTTGCAACTTGTACAAGCGAGTAGGGTGCGTGTGGGCGAAGGTCATGCATGCGTAAGACATAATAGGTCGTACGCAGGTCTTATATAATAACAATTTGTGCCTTAAGGGCATTTTACTTTTAACGTAAGTTAAATTGTGTAGCCGACCGGAGACGAACGCGGCTCTATTGCTAACGTTATTAATGTGCGTAGTAAATGACATACGCGAGTCGAAAGTGACTCCTAAGTATTTGACCTTTTTCTCCCAGGGGAGCGGTTGGCCATAAAGGGATATTTGCCCCAACTTTCTGCATTGACGAGGGCCATTGTAAAGATGTGACGGGTAAGTACTTCGTGTGAAGTGAATCGCCACACTCTTTTCGGGATTTATTTCTATTCTCCATTTGCGGAACCAATCGCCGAGGCGGTCGGCAGCGCTTTGGAGTCGAGTCGTTAATTGACTGAGGTTGCGGTCTGAGTAAAAGAGCGCCGTGTCATCCGCGAAAAGCGCGAGATTGACGTGGGGGTCTTTAGGTATATCGCTCGTGTAGAGCGTAAAGAGCAAAGGTGAGAGGCAGGAGCCTTGTGGTACGCCGGCCGTGAGGCGGCGGCTTGTGGAGAGGGTGCTTTCAACTCGATATCGAAAAGAGCGGTTCGACAGGAAGGCCTGGATGTTGTGTACGAGCCTATCTGGCACTTTGAGTGTGTACAGCTTGTAAAGCAAGCCGTTGTGCCAGACCTTGTCGAATGCTTTTGCGACATCGAAGAAAAGAGCCCCTGTACTAATATGTTTAGGGTGATTTAGGCCTTTTAGGATATGTTCCGTTAGCCGGAATAGTTGATCGGGACAGGAATGTCTAGCTCGAAAGCCGAATTGTTCCGCCGGCAGAAGGCCGTTGGAAAACACGTGCTCATTGAGCCTGTTTAATAAAAGCCGCTCGTAGAGCTTCCCCAGGCAACTGAGGAGGCTGATGGGACGATAACTAGAGGGCTGGTTGGCTGGTTTATTAGGCTTGCGAATGCCGATAACCCTGGCTTCTTTCCAGTCGTCTGGAAAGGAGCAACTGGAGAGTAAAGTATTGTAAATGGTCGCCAGTAAACATATAAGCGGCCCAGGGAGAGCTTTAAGAATTTTGTTACTAATATTATCTGGGCCCGGGGCGGATTTGGGTTTTAAGTTTTTAATAATATCTTGAACCTCTTCGGGGGTCACTGAATTCAAAGGATCGCCTTCCGGTGGAAGCGCAGCCCTAATCTCGATTACGCGGTCCACCTCCGTTAGGTGGGCTGTATCGACCTGTGTTCGCGCGATGGCGTACATTGCTGCTCTAGGTTGTCCGCAAGGCATTCGGCTTTTTCGCAGTCATCTAGGGCTACTGAAGCGCTATTAGGTCTAACTAACGGCGGTAGAGATTCGCGGGGGTCTGCTTTCAGACTGCGGACCAACCGCCAGTAGGCGGTGTGCGATGGCTCGATGTCCTCTAGGAGAGTGTCCCACGTTGTATGTCGGTGTTCCGATACACGATCTTTGACTTCTAGCTGAAGGCGTCGAAGTAGGGTTCGGTTCGATTCCGATCGGTATCGGTCGAAAGCGCGTTTGGCTGCATTTTTCTGCCTAATTAGGAGTCGCAGGTCGGGCGGAAAGTTAAACCGTCGATCGCCCGACAGTTTAACCGTCCGTTCCGAGTCTGCGACTGTAGAAGTGATGGTTTCTCGGAGACTTGCTATCGCTCGATTTGCGTCATCGAACGTAGCTATCGTCTCGGGTAGGTCGACTAAGTCCTGGGGGTCCAAGGCCTTGAGTTTGACCTCAAGACGATGCCAGTCCACTACGGATTTGGTCGGAGTGACCACGCCGGCGTTCTGGCCCAGTTTACACAGGACGGGCCTGTGATCTGAGTCTAATTCATGGATTGTCTCTATCGACTCAATGTCGAGCGAGACCTCCTTGAGTAACATGATATCTAGGATACTCGGTGTCGCGTGTTGGTAGTTGTCCACCGTAGGATACCTAGTGGGAGTCGCAGGAGCAATTATGCTAAAGTTTAAATTATCGGATAAGCTAAAGAGATGCTTTCCGTTGTTATTTGGGATGCTGTGGATGTCCCATGAGCCGTGTTTGCAGTTTAGATCTCCTGCAATTATCACGGAAGGGCCTAAGTTGAGTAGCGTATCTAGGTCGCTTTGTAATAAGGTTTTGTTCCCCGAGAGGTAGGCTGAGACTAGTACAAGCGGCCTGTGGCCGGTGAGCGCTAACCTACACGCGGATGCCTCTAAATGGCTTAGCTCTGGAATGTCGAGCGGGCTACAGTGCAAGGACCTTTTGTAATAGATTAAGGTGCCTCCCAGACGGTTTGCTAACCGGTCGTGGCGGACTATGTTATAGTTTGCGATTCTGGGATCGCGTACACTCGGTTTTAAGAATGTCTCTTGCACTAGAAAAATATCTATGTTATAATCGCGAAGGAATTCGGCGATTTCGTCCCTTTGACCCTTTATGCCGTTTGCGTTGAAATACGAAACAACCAGAGCCCGAGGTTTTGTTCTACTTGCGGTTGTACTTCCCATTAAAGTTTTTTATGAGTTCTAACTAACGACGCGGCGGAGCGCGGTTTTATTGCGCGGACTATTAAGTTTATGGTTGGCTTGTAAATGCCCAGAGGGCTTCTACAAGCATTTTATGTTCGCTAATGGCTTTAAATCGCGCGTTGCCAGATGTGGCGGCCGCTATTTTAGCGGACAATACGGCGAGTTCTTGTCTATTAATGCGGTCTAATAAGGCGCAGATGTTGGCAATTTGGGCGAACGGGTCGTCCTTGTTTTCGGCGAAAACCGACGGTGTCGACTGCACCTGCGGCGTCGGCGCCGTTTGATAGGCGGGAGCGATTGGTCGTGAGGCGACCGGGGGCGCAACTACCTGCGCGGCCACCTGGGGTTTCGCCCAGGCGTTTACGACAGGTACGGGCGCGGGAACGTATTTCACGGGCGCGGGTTTGGGCAAAGAAGATTTCGCGGGAGCTTTTCTCGCGGGAGTTTTTGGGGCCTTAGCGCAGCCCCTGTAGCTAGCCGGGTGGCCGGTGGTAAGACAGTTAACGCAGTCCGGTGGATCTGCGCAATCTTTTGGCCGTGTACAATCGGGCGTGCCGTGGTCACCGGTGCATTTGACGCACCTAGGGTGAGCGAAACAATTATTAGCCGTGTGGCCATAGTGTTGGCAGTTGTGGCACTGCGCCACAACTCCCGATCTTCGCGGCGGCTCGATCACGAGGTCGCTGAGCCCACAGACCCTCTTCAGGTTGAAGATGGCCTTACCTTCCGGGGTAGGGTCAAGTTCAACCATCACCATGTCCATAGGGACACGGGTTCTGGGGTGCCTGAGGCGTCGGACGGCATGCACAGGGTATCCCTGAGTGCAGATGTCGGTTTTCGCCTTGTCGACATCCGACTCTTTGGGGACGCCCTTGATAACTACCCGAAGTTTGCGTTCTTCGGGCAAAGAGTAGGTGTGAAAACCTATCTTATTTTCGCGCAAGTATTTCGTTACGCGGCGGAAAAATCGTCCGTTGTGTCAAGGTATACGCGGATACCCATTTGTGTATTTTTCGACCGGGGGTCGCGGATATTGTGGCGTTCAAACCACGAAGAAATTTGGTGCCACTTAGCCTTCTCCTGAATGATGATGGGTGGAGGAGGCTTTATTTTTCGCTCGGAGGCGAATTCGGGCATCGGTTTAGCCGCCGCAGCCGCCTTTTTGGCGGGCGTCGCGGTGGGTTGGTTAGTCGAAGCGGCCTCGCATTCGGGGTCGCTGTCGGCAGCGGGGCGTTTTTTGCCCTTCTTACGCGACTTTACGACGGTGAAGCCGTCGACGTTCGCGTTTTCAGCGGGGGGTCGTTTCGACCTCCATGTCCGATCCGCCGTCCGAATGTGAGTCGGGAACGACGGCGCGGAAGGGGGCCGAGATGGGATGCGCGGAAGGCGCGATGGGTATGATCGCGGCGGCGGAGGTCGACGCGACGGGCTTTTCTTGTGTCGCTGAAGGCGACACATTAGCAGGCGCTGAGGGCGCCGGAGATGACGGCGAGGCGACTGCCGGTGAAGCCGGGCTGTCGCTGGCGAACTCGACGACTAAACATTTTTCTTTCGCGAACGCGAGAAAGTTTGCCCACACTTCGGGACATCGTTGGCGAAGGAATTCCTCTAGGAGGGAACCCATTTCGAGCGCTTGAGCCTTTGGGGCTTGCGCCCCGCCGGCGTGTAAGTTACTAAATAGGCCTCCCCACCTTGCGGCAGGGAGGTGAGTGCCTAAAACTAACAACTATTCCGCCTGCGCTTTAGGTGCGCTAGGGTGGGTACCTAGCTGTCGCCTATCGCAACAAGCACACAGTTATTAAATAAAAACAATGCCGCCTCTGAGGCGAGAAGTGTGTATAGAATTCTACTTACAGAACAGGAACCTGCCTACGAGCACAACACTAACACTAAACTACTGCACTGCTTGCACAAAGATTTAAATTGCAACCGAAGTTGCGAGTAGCGTCTAATTCGGGTGGCATTAGCCCTCCGTCTTAGAGAGAGGTCCGTTCCGTACGAGAGCACGAAGCGGAATCTCTGGTCAACATGATAGTCAAAGCGTCAAGGTAACAATTTAGAGGTATGAGTCTTAAACCATTTAGTACCTAGTACCCTATTCTAAACTCTTCAGTTAAGGGTCTGCCTTAATTCACTTGAAGACTTTACCTAAGTGTAACGAGATTATCACTCTTTTGACATGGAATCTCATCAATGCCCTTTATTAAACACAATTGCAAATTTTTTATTTATTATTAAAATACTCCTATTGTCATCAAATTATTGCCATTAGTGTAAAATCCAATGTTGAAGTAAGGTAATCAATACAAGTATGACAAAGCCCGCATGTCCTATGTTTAGCATGTTGGCAGTACTGTGTATTCATGTTTTTGAAATCAACTAATAAAATGGTAGACTTTTGTGAAAATAATATGGGTAAAAATTCCGAACAGTACGTCTCGTTTTTCAAGCTAGAAAAAAATTTTAATCGATAGAGAAATGTTAATAATTAAATATTACATACGTGAAAATCAAGGCAAACACTTACTTTTAATAAAAAAAAAAAAAATTTAAAACTTGTTATTTTCACTAAATAAATCCGCCATTTTGTGTTTGACAACATGTATAAATTTACGAATTCACACACTTTTCCAAATTATAACCTTCGCATTATTAAAAAAGAGTCTAAAAATACTAAAAGTACTGTTACACTAAAGTTTTCTGGGTGGTCATAAAAAAAAAAAAAAAAAAAAAAAAAAAAAAAAAAAAAAAAAAAAAAAAAAAAAAAAAAAAAAAAAAAAACCTAACAACGAAGGCTAAGCGAACATGGCGAACCTTCTAACCTAACCTATCCGAGTCGGATCGCTCTGTGTCGGATCTGTGACTCATTTTGAACTTAATATTCGAGACATTAAGTGTATGTTAAGTCACAAATTTTAAATATTAGAAATTGTTAATAATACATGTTCATGAAGTAGAAACTTGTGTTTTTGTGATATATCTGTGTATTTGTGTCTTCTTACAACGTAAAAAGTGAAAACGTAAGTTTTTAACTTAAAATAATAGTCTATAATGAATGAATAATGGACGCACAGTAATGACGGATTTCAGTTGTATGAAATTTAAAAACTTTGTTAATTTTTTCCTCATAATCTAGTGGTTTTCTTTGATTATAACTTATATAATATTTAATTATTAACATTTCCCTATAGATTAAAATTTTTTTCTAGCTTGAAAAACGAGACGTACTATTCGGAATATTAGCCATAACATGTTTTAAATATTTTTTCCTATTGAAAGTAAGTATTTGCATCAGATATTATTTCATCAGTGACATTTCTCTATCGATTAAAGTTTTTTTCAAGCTTGAAAAATGGTATGCAAAAATGTAAATTTTTACCCTTCATTCTTGTAGCCAATCATTAATATAAAGAATGTAAATTGAACTAACTATCAAGGAGTCTATACTTACACCTTATCAATTACACCTACAAATATTGAATATTTGATGGAGAAAGAAGAAAGCAGGCCCTAACACCATCAGCTTCAGTATGAAGCAAAGGACATAATTCTTATAAAAATTTTGTCAATACTGTAAATACTGTTGTTAATAAAAATGTATGTTTTTAATGTAAAGAACATAGAAGTATGTGAAAATTATAAAATGAATTATCAGGGGATTGATTAAAAAACTAGTTTTTAGATGTATTTTACAATTTACAATCATGATAATTGTATTGTCCGGTACTACTTTCAATAATGTTAGAAAAAGTGTTTTAGAATATTATTTAATTACTTCTTTTGAATAAATAATTATTACAAAACTGATTGGGCCAAGGTGAAGTTTGGTTTTTGAAAAGAACTTTTTCAGTTTCTCAATACATAGTTTAAATATTCTGCATAATCCATCGTTCTTATGGAGCTTTCAAAAGAAAATAGCGATTGAAGGACCTAACCTATCTTTTCAAAATTACGTAATTACGAAACATCATTTATTTCCGAAGAAGATCATATTTTTCACTTCATCAAAGCTGGCAATTAGTTTTAATCATTAAATGGTGGCAATTCTAAAATTCGTGTAATGTTTTACTTATAATATAGTTACAAAAACAAGTGATCAATACTTACGCCTTTGCTAACTTTAGACCTGGCCGGCACGGCGATCGCGCTCATGTTCCTCTGTTGAGCGACATTTTTGATTAGTTGCGCGTTATTTCTAAAAAGACTCCTGATAGCCAGCATTTTGTGATTGTTCAAATTTTAGCGTTAACAAAGCGACCAGACCAGACCTACTCGATTGAAAATTTTGATTTGATAAATAATTTGAAGTTGGAACCAGTGTTGCCAACGATATAAGGCCTGCTGTCGCCATTTTTTGACAGCATAAGTAGCCTATTGTAGCCGAATTTTAACTTCTATAGCAACAATAAGCTACAATAAGTAGCCCAAGCACAAAAATATCGCTATGCTATACATTATAAAGCGTCATTTAAATTTACTTATTTATTTTCACCTACTATAAAACTATAAAAGCTTATTTGGTGGCCTTAACCTTACATAAAATTGCGAAAAAAATATTAAGACTGCTTCGTCTGCCAGCAATAATAAGGCACCAATAAGATTTTTCGCCGTCAATGTCATCAGTTGTAGGTGCTGTGCTAATATAGCCCAAGCTTAACTTAGGATGCAGGAGAAGTAAATTTTTTGGTTACTTAAAAGTTAAGAAAAATGTCTTGTATTCCTCGATAATAACTAACTATGAACCAATAGGGTGGCCATAAAAGTATCAGCCTGTACATGTCCCATGGCGGGGCAAAGGCCTTCTCTGTACAGAGGGTATCAGGGCATAGTCCACCACGCGGCCCCACTGCGTATTGGCGGACTTCACATTTCTTCGAAATATTTTTTTTGTTGTTATTATTTCGAAAATATGCAGGTTTCCTCACGATGTTTACCTTCACCGCTGAGCACGTGATAAGTCAGCACTTGAAAGTACAATTTCATTGGTGCCGACACTGGGGATCGAACTTAGGTTGCTCGAGTATATTGAATTAAAGACGGGCGCCCGGACACTGAGCTATCACGGCTCTCAGGGTGGCCATAATTCTTTATTAATATCACAGAGCTAAGGGAGGCTATGATTTTAATTAAAAGATTATTTCATTTCATAACTTCGATTTGGCTTCGATTAACAGATTTGGCTAATTTAAATAGCTTGCCTCTGAAGTAGCCTAAAAGGCGACTAGTCGCAAGTCAAATTTTTTTCATCACCGATTCTCGTCCTTAGTAGCCTAAATAGTGACAAATAGTCTACGTTGTTGGCCACACTGGTTTGAGCCACAGATAAATGACAACTAACTAAGATAGTTGACAACTAACTAATTAAGTAGGGCATTGCGACGACGAATAGTTTACAAAGAAGATTTTTTGTGTTATGCGACGATGAATCATGAAATCGTTTTACATGCTGGATTCAAACAGTCGTCGTTGCACAAATCGGTCTTTCAGTTACATGTTACGATTGTTTATTTTACGCCTATAAAAATATAGTCGAGAACGCAAAGGTTCAAACTATCACACTTGTCCGTCGGGTCGTTCGTTTACAAAACAGTCCTTGCAATTAAAAATGAACTTTTTGTTAATAAGTCCAGTCGATAATGTATTGCTGTCGTTCGTGATGCTAAGGTAAAACCCGTGCAAGCTTATTTCGGTGGACATGAATAATAAATTCGAATAATCGCAAAATTTCCTGGAAATCGAGCCGGTGAGCGCGTCGATATTATTTCATATTTATTTACATTTTTAATAGCTATTAAGCATGCGTTTTGTGGGCCAGTCAACTAGTTGCTATTAAGCACGCGCAAAGAGAGATTTAGTAATTGTTTTTGTTGCGTATTTCTGGAAATATTTAAGTGTGCTTAGTGCGATACATATTAAGTTAAGAATTATTGCTTCTGATAATTTTAATAACTCGATCGTAATGTCATGCGGCACGGAAAACACTTGGTGGTGTTTTATGGTCGCATTTCGATAAAGACAATGAAAATAAAAAAGCTAAATGCGATTTATACCACAAAAAATTAAGCTTTATATCAACTAGAGGAACCATATATAGAGAAAATTAATAAATGAATTGAGAAACTTTTACTTTGCTAGTGGAAAAGAAAATCAGCAAATCAGAAACTGCAACTATTTCACTCAACAAAAACTGCGATAACGCAATTCTATTACCTACATGTTGGATAAGTGTTCGACCGTCTCGTATGCATAATACGAGACTTCCTAAGTAATCGAACCTTTCGCTATTGCGTCGAGGGCGTGTGTTCGACTACGCATCCCGTTTGAGCCGGGGTGCCCCAAGGGTCGGTGTTGGGCCCAGTCTTGTTCACTCTCTACACCAATGACATGCCGCGTGTCAAAGATGTAGAACTTGCTCTTTTTGCCGACGACACCTGTATCTATACCACAGGCAGAACACCCGAATTGATCCATCGACACCTCCAAGGTGCGGCCATCACCATCGGTGACTGGTTTCGGCAATGGAGGATCGAGATCAATCCCGCCAAAAGCGCGGCCGTCCTTTTCGCTCACAAAAAGAACATACCCATTCCACCCCCCGTTAAACTCTTGGACAGCCCAGTACCATGGGTTAATAAAGTCAAATATCTAGGCGTCGTCCTCAACTCCCAGCTTAAATTCACCCAGCACGTGACCCAGGTCGGGAACTGGGCGGCCTTCGTACTCGGTCGCCTCTACCCGCTCCTCAATAAAACGTCAAAAATGTCCCTTCGGAACAAGGTGACCTTATATAAGGCAGTAGTTCGCCCTATCATGACGTACGCGAGCCCCGTCTTCACTCACATTGCTCCGAAGCAAATACACCGGCTTCAGGTGATTCAAAATCGATTCTTGCGCTGAGCCACGGGAGCACCCTGGTTCATGCGCAATATCGACCTACATGTTGATCTAGAGTTGCCCACCATCGCGCAATTCCTGAAGTCGGCGTCGCGCTGATATTTCGATTCCGCCGCCGCGCATCCCAACCCACTTATCGTAGGTGCCGTCACCTACAGGCCCTTGCCGCTAAATATTTTCCGCCGCGATAACCGAAGACCGCGACACGTTCTCGACTTCCCTGACGATGAGACGACTATCGCCATCGAAAGGATCAAAAAACTTAAGAAACACACCAACACACACCGCACTCGCCAGCGAGTGCGGCAAACATGTTCTAGGTTCCGCCACGTACCTGGCAGGTTTTCCCCTATTAATGATAGAAGCGTTGCTGGAGTTTCTTCCGCCACTTCTTCTCCCAGCGCCAACGCTCTCCGAAGTGGTAGTAATGTTAGCTCTAGTAATTCCCCCAGTCAGATAATAGCTACCGATCGAGCCGAGCTCCGGCCCACTCGGGCACCCTCGAATCGGAATGCTAAACGCCCGCTGAGTGACAGCCCAAGCCGAGGTCCCCTCTCGGGGACCCTTGAGCCTGATCACTCCATGGAGCGTCCGCTAAAGCGCCCTAAGAGCTTGGTGGCCTCCCAAACCGGTAATAATAATAGCGTGACGGCCCGAGCCGAGGCTCCCCCGGGAGCCCTCGAGCTTAGTCACCATAACGCTTAATAATAGTACGCCGAGGTTCAGGCTAGGCGCCTCGTGCGCCAGGCCACCTCAAGTCCGTCGGAACTGTAAAGGCCCCTAAGGCCAACAGTGGCTCATCCAGCCCAAAAAAAAAAAACATGTTGGATAAGTTTCGTCCTTTAGGCCGGCTTCAAAGCAGTTGCAACGACGACCGTTTTCTGTAGCCGTTTCACGCACGCGCCATGCACAGATATTAAAGATCTGGTGTCGATGTTTCAGGTAGGGCAGTTAGATATTTTTAATCGATCCCGTGTATCGATAAACAAATCCACGGAATAGAGAATACAGTGGAAGTGGTCCTCATAGTCGGCAAATTCACACAAGTAATGCCTGTGTCTTATTTTGATCTTAAAATGTATCTTAGCTGCTATTGACATTAACTATTTACAATATTATAATAAATAATAAACTTAAGTGTTATTTGCTATGAATTGAAAAATACACCTTAAAGTCTGCACATTAAGATTTCATTTTATGAATGACGTACAATGTACGTGTGACGTTTTTCATTTTAAGCTTTAACAAGAAAAAATATTAAGCAAGAACGGCCACTGGGCACTAGATGTCGCGAACGTAATATGCACTCGCAAACGTCCTTATCTCTTTGATTTAAAGACATTAACTGCCTATCGCGACTTCACACAAAGTTTGTATTTTTAGTTAGTTTTTACCTTTATTTTCACACCTAAATAACACATTACAACCGTGGTAAATTTTAAGATTCAACTTATTTTTTGTTTATCCACTTTTTTACAAAACTCCAAGTAAAACACATCCTCAAGACGAACATGATTGTTTACATTAAAGGTATAACTAAGTTTATGATGTGAATGTATTGGTTATTACATGTTTACTTTAATGTCAACAAAAGCTAATGGTCACTTCACTAGCTGAATAGCAAAGAACTATCTAGCAATCAATATTACCAAATTTCTTGACAAGGCAAAATACACTTTAATGCATTTAACATTAGGTTGACTCTTGAGTTTGCTTCAAATTAAATTTTCGATTTATGGTAAAATTGTGTTGTTTTGTAAAATATACTAAAATAGTATTTGCTGTAAACAATTTGTAAAAGCTACCTTAATGGCAAGGACCTACTATAATATCCAAGAATACATTGAGGACAAGGATGTTTGGAAATGACTCTTGCTCTGCACTTGCAAGACCCCTGGCTGCTGCTGATTTTATACCTAAATAAGTGTGTATAATTGCATAAAAAAAAAGAACAAAAAGAACAAGACTGCAGAGTTTCTTGCCGGTTCTTCTCTGTGCAGGTCTAGTTTAGTGAACCGGTGGTAGATTTTTTGATGACGTTCAATAAGAGCTTGAGCCTATATTGAATAAATATACTTTGACTTTGGCTGGTGATGTGAAATCCTTTCTTTTATCCAATCCTTTCTTATACCCGTAGGGTTGCAGATGCGTTACCTTTTGATAGTGGGCCCCGGCAACCTCACTCACCAGACGAAATGCAGAAGTATAACACTTCCACTTCACGCTGGTCTTCTGTGAGGTCGTGGTTCTTAACCGGACGGACCTTCCCATTCGTGCAACAGCGAAGAGTAGCCCTATCGTAATTCTTTCACCACTGTCGACCCTTCTAGCCACCTTTTTTCCTTCACTTCTTCCCTTCTTTACTTTAGTTGGCCGAATCTCAAAGGAAGCAAGTTTAAGTTTCGGGTTCGAAGCAATATATCCAACTTTCATCACCTGTGATGATGTTAAATACAGCATTAGTCACCTCCGTTGAACTTTTCTAACATTTCGCGACATATAACAATCTATGCGGAGGCGTTTATGGTCTTGGGTCGAAGTATCGGGAATCCATCTTGTAAAAAACTAACTGACGCCTAAATGTTCCTGTAACATTTTTTGTACTTGAATCATATCAATGCCATCCCACCTGATCCATACTGAGTGATGTGAGCAAACAGTGGCATGGGACGAGGCTCCATTATTAATGCGAAGCTTCTGTCATAGCTTTGTTTTTGAGTAAGAACAACGAAAGTCGTAATATATCATGGAACGAAAATTTTTTCGCGTTAAATTCGTATTACGTGTAAAAAGACTAGGAATTTTCGCCATGAATACAATAAATTACATTAGGTTACCAAAGAGTTAATACAAAAAAATATGCATATTTTAATTGCAGTGTTCACTGGCAATGTTTCTATCTAGTTTTGAAAAGTTTCTAGTGTCTCCCAGGGGACCTTGCTAATATTTTAATTTCATTTTAGAGAAAACGTAAACGTATATTAAAGTATTACCTACAGTTTAATGGCGCGTTTGGTAAAATTATTAGAGTAAAATATTACAATGCGCATTACAGGACCCAAAAAGTACTTCAAAAATATTTCGAAGATATGTAATGTCTGCTAATCCGCGTTGGGGTCATATAGTAGACTATCTATACCATATCACCTGTACAAAGCGGCAAGAAATGGGCATCGATTTGTTATTATTTATCGAAGACAACACATAAATGGCAATTGAGGAGTTTTAATACACTTAGGCCAGAAGCATAAATAATACAAATATATTAACAGTATGACAATTTTATTAAGTATAAATTCTTAACTAAAAAAGAATCTTAGTATTAACTTAAAAGTACCGCTTCCTTCTTGGAACATAAATGACTGAACATCATAGTAGATATTTTTTAGGAAATTTAATGTGGTTTATGGCAGCACTACTGCGACACTTCCATCAGCTGTGGGGCATCTGAAAAATTAAAAAAAAAAATTAAAATGGGGGTCACCTTAATGAAATTTAGGCCTATAGTGTATCAAAAGATGTTGTGTTTTTTGTTTAAATCGTAATTTTGGTCAAAAACGTACTTACAAATGGGAATGGGATAATTAATTTGCTATTTTAAATATATTATAGTTTTTGAACAATTTAATAACTAAATATACATATGGTACATAATTTAATATTCATACATATACATACATTATGCCTAAAAATTGTACATTTACTGGAAATTATCACATTATTCTTATCAATTTTCCATCCATTTTCCAAAACACAACTGAGGCGATTATGGCTTAATGTTAAAACATAAAATTTCAAAGAGCAAAATCAATCAGCGTATTGATCTAAGAAACAATAGGAAAAACGACAAGTCGTCTTGTTGCTTAATTTCTGATTGTTCATGAATGTCGTGATTTAAAGTGGAAAATATAATACAGTTTCTATAATATCTTATCCTTTAAACGAGCAATTCTTGTATATATATGTTTTATGTGGTTTGTTTTTTTTTTGGTAAATCGTGTATTTTGGAAATTATATTTAGATACAAATTACTGAGTAATGAAATATGCATAATATTTTTCGATCTTACCGACGTAATAATAAGAAAATATGAACTGATGTTTTTCACAAAAGAAAGAACTTTAAAAAAAAAGGGAAAAAAAAAAAAAAAAATAACAAATCGACAAAAAATTAAAAATAAAGAAAGCAATGATCTGGAATCGAAAAAAAAGTAAAAAAAATAAATGTGTAAATGATCGTGACGCGAACCACGACCGTCTTTTTTGGGGCCGCTCGATTACCGACCAAGCTATTTTGACATTTTCTCTTGCAGCGAAATTTACCGTCATATTCGAATTATATTTTTCGTTCCCTGAAAACAGAGACAAAAGGACATTTTCTAAAAATGAAACCTAGCTAGATCGATTTTTCGCACCCGAATCTACGCACATACTAAATTTCATGAAAATCGCTGGAGCCGTTTACGAGATTCCGATTATATATATATATATATATATATATATATACAAGAATTGCTCGTTTAAAGGATAAGATGTATAAATTAAAACCAGCCAAGTGCGAGTCGTACTCGCCCACGAAGGGTTCCGTTATCTATACAAAAAACAGCAAAAAAAATGTCCGTTGTACGGGACCCAATTTAACAAAAATTTATTCTGTTTAGAATTTGTTATTATAGCGGTGACAGAAATACATAATCTGAGAAAATGTCAACTGTCTAAATATTACGAGTCATGAGATACAGCCTGGTAACAGACAGACGGTCAGACTGACAGACAGCGGAGTCTTAATGTTAGGGTCCCGTTTTACCCTTTGGGTACGGAACCCTAAAAATTAGAACTTTTTTTTTTTTTACTTAAATTACTTTATTTTAAAGGACAAATTTATATACCTCCCGCTCCGTCGTCGAACATAAATTCGTCCTGGTACTCCTTCAGGAATTGCTCAGATCTGTGCTCGTCCAGGAACAGGGAGTAAACTTTCTTCACATCCTCCATGCTTACCTAATGACAAAATTTTTGTTTTTGTAATATAATAATTTAGCATGACAAGTATACATTAAAATTATTTAATGGCTGCTCATCATTTTCATAAATTTAGTTTTTTTTATATATTGTTTCTATTAAATTTATCCAATCTTAAGAACACTGTCTGTTAAAACACTACTCTTACTATTCCAATAATTATAGTGTCAATTTTCAACTAGCTAGGTCAAACCATTCCTGAGAAAATCGGTGGTAACACACGGACAGACAGACAGAAAGACAAGAGAGTGATCTTATAAGGATTCCTGAATTTAAAGGAACCCTAAAAAAGTCGGCAAAATTATTTCACTTGGACAAACAACCCATATTTCACTTGGTCATCATACTGTAACCTCAGAGGCATACAATAGTAACCATATTTTTAACCGACTTCAAAAAAGGAGGAGGTTTGTCAATTCGACCGTATATATTTTTTTATGTGTTCGTGGATAACTTCCTCGCTTATGAACCGATTTTGATGGTTATTTTTTTCGGTTGGATAGGTGATATCAAGGGTGGTACCATGATAAGGAAACCCGGATCTGACGGTGGCATCCCAGAGAAATCGAGGGCCATCCTCAAATGTTACAGGTTTTTAGTTTCCTGTTGACAAAAAAAAAAACATGGTACCACCCTTGCGATATCTCCTTTCCAACAAAAAAAGAATCATCAAAATCGGTTCATAAATGACGAAGTTATCCGCGAACACACTTAGAAACAAACAAAAATGTATACGGTCGAATTGAGAAATCTCCGTCTTTTTCGAAGTCGGTTAAAAATTCAGCCATCTGCGAGATATTCTGGTGTAAAAAAAAAACTCATTAATAATTAATTTCCTTTAGCCGCGGTTAACAGCTAGTGATCAATAGTGCATTCAAGGATTCACTCGCGCGTCTTTGCCTCTCGTGTAAAATTTGTGTTATACATAATGCTGTTTACCACCGAGGTACGGTGCACATCGACTTACTTCGGTAGCTTTCCTGCGCTTGGCCACAAGCGAAGCAGTGGTTATCAGCTGGATGGCGTAACGCAGCGAGGTCTCCGTTGCAACGCGGGTCAGGACGGTCAGGGCATCCGCAGACATCTGGCAGTCCTCCTCTTCGCACCTGGAAATTGGATAGGACTACTGCTGTATTTGTTTTTTATGTGAAAAGTTGCCAAGTGAGCAGACGGTTCACGTGATGTTAAGTGAATACCGCCGCCCATGGACATTTGCTACACCCGAGGGTTCCAGATGCGTTGACAGCCTTTTGAAAATTGAGCTCCGGCAAACCTCACTCACCAGATGAAACGCGAAAGTATTATACTTCCACTTTACGCCGGTCTTCTGTGAGGTCGTGGCACTTACTCAGACGAGCTTGCCCATTCGTGCAACAGCCGAGGCTGATGCGTGGCCCTACCACCATTTTATTTACTTATTTATTTATTTACTTTATTCACTTAACTGAATGCCGAAGACGTGGGTTCGATTCCCACAGCGGCGACAATCTTTTCGTACTTTTTCTACATGTTTTAATACAATGTCATGTTTATAGAAATTTAGCTACTCTAAGTATGGAATTAGAGTAGCAACATTAGTGCACAGTTTGTTGTGATTACAAACTTATAGCTTCTGAATCAATTAAGTGTACTAGATTTTTTTATCTTAAAGACCTTCAAACTTCGTTAAACCCAAACTGTACTTAATGCTTTTGATATAAACTATCAAACATTTCAGCTTCATTGTACTGTGGGTCGTGCCTAACCTGATGTTCAGGATCTCTTTAAGCTCCTGATGCGAGTATGGGGTTGTGGGCACTATGATCATCCTGTCGAGCAGGTCCAGGGGGATCCCATGGGGGCTCTTGTAGTTGGTGCCCCTGATCCGGGTGATTCCCCTGTTGGTGGCCATTATGACTATTGGGGCGGTCTCTTGCTCTAGAGCGCGGTTCAGGAACGAGAAGCACTCAATGTCCAGCATGTGGGCCTGAAAAGTTGAAAGATTACAGTTAGTATGATTTAATAGTGATATTTGAACATAAGGGAAATAAATAAATTTACAACTGTGCGACAGAAAAAAATTTGTTTGTATGTTGAATTTTGAAATTTATTTCATTTCAGCTAAATTAAAATTTAACAAGAAATCTCACCATACTGAGTTTTTTTTTAGTAAAGAACACCTAAAGGCATTAAGTGCCTTTTGTATTCTTTGATTTTCAAGGAAATTAAATAAAGTTTAAATAAATAAATACAAACTTGAAACCATCAGGTTGCTTAATAACATTTGATATTTGTCAATATACAATAATATATTTCAATAAGAAAACCTGTATAATTCAAGCTTTATAATTTAAGTTCATTGTCATATTATGGGCAATTTCAAGTATTTTAGTGCAAATAATACAACAATACAAAAATGGAGATAGACAAACCCTGGGTTTGGTTATGAAAACATGTTTTGTACATGTTTTCATTACCAAACCCAGGGTTGTGTGAAATTTTGCTGATGGGTTTTCTTTGTTGTCAATTACTAATAAAGTAATTAAAACACCATATGACTCCAATCATTCTATCAGTACCGGCATAATGAAATCTAGTATAATGTACACAATTTTAGGACTCATTTTTTTCTTTGTGCTAGCGTGTGCCTGCATTAAAGATACAACATAAAATATGAATTTTAATAAATGATGAACAAAAAGTTTGAGGGCTGCAGGATTCGAACCTGAGTCATCCAAATTATAAAAAAGGAATATCAAAAGATATTTCTAGTTATGGATATGATATAAATATTGTTATTATCGTTTGGAGTGCCTATAAAATATGTAGAATTAAATATAAACAAAAATAAATTTTAACTTTGATATAGTTTTATGTTTTCACTTCTGCTATGTTTTTGTGTTTAAAGATTAAATGAAGATAAAATCTCCTCATCCAGACTTGTGCTTTTGTGGCTAATAGCATGCAAATTAAATACTAACCTCGTCTATGAACAGAACACCTGGTATCATCTCCGCTTTGCCCTCCTCTCTCCACTCGGCCACTTTGCTGTTGATCTGTTCCCGTATCTCGGATTTGATTTCCCCAGTGTCGCCTGTGTAAAGTTTTTTCCTATCAATACGTTATACTACTAACAGAGGAATGATAGATAGAACTTTAAACAAGCGATTCATGGATATCTACAAGTTTCTTGTACATTTCAAATGGCTATTATAATTTGCAATTCTGTATTTACACTGGATTTCACTATTTAATTATAAACACTTCATTACTAATGTACTATAGAGCGCCATCTCGGATATTTTACTTGATTTTTTATTCTTAAACTCATATCTATAAACTTACTGCTACATTTATACTCTAGTTTTCTATATTAATGTATGGCCATATCATACATTAAATATTTCCTAACATCAACACCGTGCTGTGCGAGAAGTTAACAAGCAAGCAGGCGGTCATAAAGTGGAGACCGGCTACTTCACTCTTTTTTTTTTCATGCAAAACTGTTGTGTGACCCTAGTACATTTAAAATGAGATTTATGGACTTACATCGCGTTTTTCATTTTGATTTAAATTCCCGACGTTTCGAACCCTTTCCAGCGTTCATGGGCACGGGACAGACTAAGTTGTACTCCATGCTACCTAACTTCAGGGTGTCGGTTTTTCGTGACGGTGAGCGCGAGCATCGTAAAAATTTACTCTCATCATTTTTCCCTAACACGATAAAGAAGTACAACTTCAATAAATCATTATTTGGAAGCTAAGAAGAAGTGTCCGCTAATTTCGAAATCCTTCCCCCGAGTGTCAAAAGAGTTGTTATTGTTGGCCAAAATTAAATTGGCTACCAAGCATCGCGTCGCTTTTTGAAGGTCGGTGTAAAAATTTCACCCCGACAATTTCTCCAAACGCTCCAAAAGAGGTATAACCTCAAAAGTTGAGACCTACCCGAGAACAGAGCGAGGAAGCCATGCGTCCTGGAATTTATCACGTCCACCTCGTGGAGGGTGACGGTATGGACCACCTCCTTGCGCTTCTGGAGCTCCCCCTCTGGGCACTGGACGAAGCGCGCCTGTTGACCTGGCGTTAAAAACGAAACAAATTACACAATGGAAAGTGACAGAAGGAAGGCTAAAAAAAAGAACCTAAACTGTCATGTGACGAATGGCAGGAGACCGAAACACAGTTAGGTGAAAACGCAAAAGAAAACGCTATTTTTTTTATTTTTTTTAAGTGATAAGTTGCCAAGCGAACAGACGTTTCACCTGATGTTAAGTGAATACCGCCGCCCATGGACGTCTACTACACCCGAGGGTTACAGATGCGTAGACAACCTTTTGAAGGCTGAGCTCCGGCCACCTCACTCACCGGACGAAACGCGAAAGTATTATACTTCCACTCTACGCCGGTCTTCTGCGAGGTCGTGGTACTTACCCGAACGAGCCTGCCCATTCGAGAAACTGTCGAGGCTGCTGTGTGGCCCTATCACCGTAAACCTATGCCACGAATATCCGAGGACACATCGTAATTTGATATTGTAGTCGAAAGCACCGCGTCCCTTACATTGTGCAGTGCAATACAGTTCATTGTGAGTAGCTAACGAATGCTCACAGTCATGTGCATTGTCTTGTACATTATACATATATAATAGTAGTGTAGTGTTATCTCATCATCTCGTCACTATAGGGAGCCATAAATCATTAACCCTAAAGTTTTGTAAACATTTTTATGGAGTTTAAAAATTGAAGATATACACTCCAGTTGGTAACCATTGGTACAGTTGCTTAGTATAGCTTCGGCGCTGGAGAGGTCATTTATTTGATTCTTGCAGGAGACAATTATATGTGCGACCCACAGATAATTGTGCCGGATCTAGATGTCTATACCCATGGATGGTTGAACTCAGGCAGGTGGCCACACCTAGACAGTACCGTTAACAACACAATTCATATGTTGTGCCAAACCTACTAAGATAAAGTAGAAAGAAGAAGACTGATTCATAACTTCTTTAGCCCAAAACATGGGTACAATAATGTCTGATATATTACATTACTATTTTTAAAAGATAATAAAGTTATTCAGACTCATACTATTCTGACAAATACTTCTGAATATATTAGCATAACAAAACAAAAGTTCATTATTCTATTAAAGTGATATAAGCTACCGACCGGTCGCATCGTAGTCTCGGGCTCGGGCGAAACTCCTGCCTAGCTTGTTTATCTTGCCCGTCGCCTTGTCTATGGTCACCACGTCACCGGCTTGGACCTGAAATGGCGGAAACGCGTTTGAGGTTATGGTGAGTGAAAAGAAAACACTTCAAATACACAATCAATCTGTTGTTTCTCCGAAGTCCAAAGTGTAATATCAATGAAATTAATATTGAACCAAACGGGAGATGAGCAAAATCCAATGCAAAAAAAAAAAAAAAATTAAAAGCATTTCTATAAAGACGGCATTCTGAGATAACAAACATTTAATCCTAACATAATATGTTATTACCATAACATGATATTATCATACCTTCTCTTTTAGTAGCGAGTCAATCATTTTGGTTCCCATATCATAATTGGTCTCCATATCTGTGGTTTTCAAGGTCAGACGACCGACTCGGGCTCCTCCAGTGCCTGCAGCCCTCTCTATCACCACTTCCACTACCTCCCCCTCTATTATCTCCGATTCCTCCCTGTGTCATGGAACATAATGTAGAGTATGCTTTTGTCAAGGACAAATTTGATTTGTTGAGATGATAGCGAATAACCTAGGTATACATTTATGTGAAAATTACTTTTTAAAGAAAACATAAACCTCTGAGAGAAGTTGATTATGGGGTTGAATAGTGGGGAAATATTATGCGGTCATTGGAGATTTGTTTAAAGCATAAATATATAATCATGAGTGAGGCATGAAACAGTATAATATATAGTTATAGGTTTGCATGGAGTCCGAATGATTCCCCAATGTTGTTATATAATACTTATTCTTACTTGATCCTGATGCCAATCGATTTTCTTATGGCCTGTGTAAGCGCCTCCGTCTTGCTCATTTCTAAGGAGTAGATCTCTGATCCTAAAACAGGAAACAAGTTACAAGAACAAGTTATAAGAATCCAGAGGAGCCTATGTCCTTCTTAATGACTCTCTCATAAAGTGTAATGTTGGCGGTGTTGGCACAATCATAATTATATAATTCCATTTCAAACTTAATATTTGCAATTATTATTAATATATTTGCGGCAGTTGTAGTAAATAACCTACTGAGTGTATTCCAGTCGGATTTTCGTTTGGGTCACAGCACCACTACTGCTTTAATTAAAGTAAACGATGACATATGTATGTCAAGGTATGGAAGATAAAAAGGTAACAGTTTTGGTGATAGTTGACTTTTCAAATGCTTTTAACACAGTGGACCACCACATCCTTCTCTCTATCCTTTCCCTTTTAAAGTTTGAACCTACAATCATTGATTTGGTGCTCATCGTAATTCAATAACTGATTTCATTAATTGCTTGTATCATCTGTATGCTGATGACCTCCAACTTTACGTAAAAACACACACTGACAACATCTACCATGCAGTTTCTAACCTTAACAACAATTTAAATGTTTTGAAAGATTGGACACATTGGGCTTACAATCAATCCTTTAAAATGCTAAGCTATTACTCTTGGCAGCCCAAAAATGTTAGCTAAATTGAACAAAAATATCCCTTATCTTTACTATGGCGATACATTAATACCTTTTGACGGCTCGGCCTTTAAAAATCTCAGCTTTTACATGGATAATTCTCTGAGCTGGAATGTCAACGTCAAGATCATTCGCAAGGTCATTGCCACCTTACATTTTCTGTATAGTTTAAAATACTTTCTTCCTGGTACTAATATTTAAAGAGAAGAAACTGTATTAATTGTTTGGTTACATTTGTTTTTAAACAGAATAATTATAATATTCGGCTATAATATTCGCCTTGTAAGTTACCTTCTTGATTACACTTTATGTAGGCTGCATTGTGAGACATTTATTAAAAAAATATAATCAATTATTCCTAAAATTTTAAATAAAAAGTTAAAGAGAGAGTACCACCATGAAATTTAATTTTCCTCAACCAGAACTGCAGAAATGTGTGCAGTGTATGAATATTCCATGATCACAAAAATGTAATTATTGAGAGGTTAGTCTCAAGTGCCTTCCTCCTATCCGATTTTCATTCACATTTTATATTAAGTTCCTTTGAGAGAGCTGGTACCCCAATCCTAAGGTTAACATAACTATTCATAAACATACTTATCAGATGAATGATGAAGAGGACGAAAGTATTATATCTGATGGGGTCCCACCCAACATTACAAACACACATAAAATTTACAAAAAAATATAGTGCATCTTCGTGTAACAAGCATGGCGGGGCCAACGGACCGTGTAAACAAGGCACATCCAGGTCCCATGCCGGTTCTCACAGTTTATCGCTTTTCTTAAATGTTTAGCAAGCTCTGCGCTCTATATTAATTAAGCTTTATTTACATAGTCTACTACAGAAAACATCTACTATCAAAAACTACCACTTTTGTGGCAGTTAATAACTACTGTGTGGCCTTACTAGATTTATAAAATAAGAAAACATTTTATTCTAAGTATTACCTGCCATACTGGTAAATGGTGTATCGGGGCCTAAAGCCTGCGCTAGACCCATAGCAATTGCTGTTTTACCGGTTCCAGGCTGACCCGCCAGAAGCACAGCCCGCCCAGCAATTTTTCCTATTTTCAAGATTAAACATATTTTAACTTTCCTAAATTTAACCTTTTTACAAAATTGATTTCTATTTGACCTATAAATATTTAATAGTAAAAATTAATGGCAACAAATTCATGTCTGGTGATTGCATTTGTGATGTGTTTTCTATTATTCATATTCATGGTCATAAAAGTAAAGATACTCATTTAATATATCATTATGCTTGAATTTGACCTGATAAAAGATTTCGGTCGAAAAAGTAACAAGGTAAGCACATAACCGATTGCCGGTTGCCATGGCAACAAGAATATTTCTTCAATAGTACCTTCTCGAATCATTTGCAGGATGACTCCGGCGGCTTTTCTGGCCATCTTCTGTCCCACCATGCCCTGGGAAACGGCTCTCGGCTCCAATGAATCATCGAGACCGAGTCCTCTGATATGCGAATGCGCGCCAATTCTTTCAATTCGCGTTATGGAACGCACCTCTTGCACTTGAGCTGCTGCTAAAGACTAAAACAATACGATATTTAATGAAACACATCTCAATGCAAGTAATACATAAACTTACATGTTTGGAGGTTACAACGACGCAAACGGCGTTATTGTAAAAATTAAAAATAGTTAGACATTAAATAACACTCACAGCCATTATTTAAAAGGGGTTTTTGTATTAGAGCCCTGTGTTGGTATATAACAGTTTTTATTGATTGTTCTCTATTTGAAAAAAAAAAAAAGATTCAAACGATAACAGCGATAAACACTATGCCGCAAGCCGAACTGACATTTGACATTGACATTTAATAATGTTTTCGGAAATTGTTGCCCATGTTTTTTGTGAAACTGAATGATCTACAATTAACTGTACCGAAGAATCGTAGTTAGAAAAAAAAAGAAAAATTCGCAAATCTATATATATAAAAATGAATCCCTATTTCCCTTGGTACGCCATCACGCGTGAACGGCTGGACCGATTTCACTTTTTTTTGTTGTGTTTATTATTATCAGGAAAAAAATTGCCTGAAAAAGTCTAAAAACAGCACTTTTCTATATTCCTGTACAGCAGATTCGTAATAATACTTAAAAGTCAATTTGAACTTAAATACCATACCATAAAGTTTAAGTGTTAGAGGAAGGGTTCCGGGAAGGCAAAACAAGTGAGTGACTGTGGTAAAATGTCACTAAACGTCTCTTTGCTGTGCATCAGTACTCGTGAGAGTATTAGTGTTCTGTGATCAGTACATAGTTTAGAAAGTCGTCCCGCTGTCTGTCTGTCCATATGTATGCTTAGATCTTTAAAACTACACAACGGATCTTGATGCGGTTTTTTTTACTAGATAGAGTGATTCAAAGGAAGGTTCATAAGTATAATACATTGCACCCGTGCGAAGCCAGGGAGGGTCGCTAGTAATATACAAAATGCATAAAAAAGTGATGATGCTGAATAGTAAAATTTTATTTTTTTTCAAAATATTTTATGCCGTGATAGCACAGTGTCCGGGCGCTCGCCTTTAATTAACAATATACTCGAGCAACCTGAGTTCGATCCCTGGTGCCTGCACCAATAAAATTGTTAGTTTTAAGTGCCGAATTATCACGTGCTCTGCGGTAAAGGAAAACATCGTGAGGAAACCGGTACATTTTCGAAAAAATAACAAAAAAATATTTCAAAAATATGTGAAGTCCGCCAATCCGCAGTGGGGCCGCGTGGTAGACTATGTCCTGTTACCCTCTGTACAGAGCAGGTCTTTGCCCAGCAGTGGGAAATATATAGGCTAATACTTTACTTTTAAATATTTTTATACGATCGAGACGTACGTAATCGTATAAAACGTAGTTAATCAATATTGAAATTACAAGGCAAAATCACCTAAAACGACTATTTTTCATTATAAAAAATGGGTGCGTGTACTTATGTACGCGCGTGAGAAGTTATACAACTTTGGCATCATTAAAAATAGTTTATAATTTTTTTTTATTACTTGCGTCTTCGAAAGCACTGAAATTTATCAAAATTACGTTCCATTTCACGTTTCGTAAGATTTTTAAATTTTAAAAATGGCTAATTAAATATTTTACGCGTCCCCGGCAGAAAAAAAATGCATTAAAGTGCTTCGTACGAACCTCCTTAAACCCCCCAAACTTACAGTGTACTTAAATTCGGGCGACATTTTTTGAAAATTTGGAAATGTTCAAGTTCCGTGAAAATATTTTTGCCAAGGTTTTTAACAATTGCTCATAATTTTTTTTATTAGATTCCCATAACTTAAAGTGCTTAGAAATTTTTATCACGACCAGAAACATTTAACAATTAATCATCAAAGTTGTTACGAAGAATTCATTACAACATAAGAGATGTTAAGAATTCTAATTCCATTATTTACTTCATTAGATTCAGCTATAGTGATAAAAATTATTTTATGTCGTACAGATATTATGAATTACGCAACATGCCACAATATACTCTGGCATTAAATCTACCTCCTCGTTCTTCCTTTTAATAATCCAATGCATCTTTTAACAGTAACTCGAGCAGCCGATTGACGATAATTGTATTTTTTCTGTTTCTCACTTAAATGTCCATTATCTCGATAAGGAGTAAGTAAGTGCTGTATTTCATAAGCAGAATCGCCCAAAACATGACTGTTTTCTGTCTGCAACTTCTGACAAACGAAAAACTATTTGATCATGAACAGATCCAGGATTTTCAGCATAACAATGAGTTATCAGACCCTTTGGGTTACATATGTATATATCACATACACATAAGCTACAAAAAAATTTTACTCTATGTTAGTTTTTTTAAATTATATACCAAAATTAATAGTATACTTATAAATAATGATTATTAAAGACTTGTAGCCGAATAGAATGGAATCCTTTCCGATTGATATAATCTACTGGATTCTGTTTTGGTGCATTTATACGAATGTGATTCCCATCAATGGCTGCTGTTTTAGGAAAACCACTCGCTCTTTCAAATCCACGCATTACTTCAATAGCATCATCTCTCGTAGGCCACTGTATAAATCTGGAGGCTTTTTTAAATAAAGCACGACAATCTCGACGTACAGTACTCGTCCTAAGTTAGATCTGTCACAGACTGATCTATAATAAAGTTAAAAAAACAAAAGCTTAGTTATATAATTCTGAATTGTGTTACATCAGATTGAAAAATTAATTTCTAGAAAAATGTTACCTATAAGAATCTGTTCTAGCCATTTTCCAAAGAGCTATCATCAATTGATGACAGGAAGAAATTGTAGGACATCCGGGAACGTGCCGAACTAAATTTTCTCGTACTAATTCATGTAAACAATTAAATGTATTTCATGAAAGTTTAAAAAAGCCAACAAAGACTTACATAAGAAAAAATTCCATAATGTGCAATGTTATATGTATATGATAGCGAATCATTTACCTGAAGTGACTTTTGAATTCATAATCTGAGTAACGATGAATAACATTATCGTAATCAATAATACGTGGTCGAAATTTTCTTTTTTTATTATCATAATTTTGTAAAACCGTATTCCATTCTTCATCTGAACTGGATGAACTAGTACTTTCTGGAGCATTATTGTGACCTTTTACCAAATATCCAAGTGTCACCGCAAAATAATTTTAATTACATTTGAACGTAAATTATTTAAATACACCACTAATATTAAATATAAATTATATATCGATATAAATTTTGAATATTTAAGTTTATTTTCAAGGCTTACAGATTATAATCTAGCCTCTTAAATCTTTTGCTTTCTTTTTATAACTCGCCGTCTGTATTATTTACCATCAAGCTCAAAACGCTCTATAACCCATTCCACTTGAGTTTACGACAGTAAAGCCACAGAACACTTTTACTCAAAGAGTAAAGCTCACAAGCAAGTGGAACGGGAAAAACTGCGGTCGTGAGCATGATCGTTGTGAACGCTTAGTGGAACGCACCAGAAGTTAGCTAGACATCTAAGTATGTTTGCGTGAGAACTGAAAGTTTTATTATAATGCATTATCTAGTTAAATAAAGTTTAGTTAAATATCACAAAATAAATATCGTGAATACTGTTGTCAGTTCTCACGCAAACATACGTAGATGTCTAGCTAACTTCAGGGTGTCAGTTTTTCGTGACGGTGTGCGCGCGCATCGTAAAAATTTACTCTCATAATTTTTCCTTAACGCGCCAAAAGAAGTATAACTTCAAAAATAGACTTGTTGTCGCACAAGTCCTCCACTTACACCTCTTGAGCTGTTCTAACTTACACTACCAGTTTTCACTTTACACTTTTTGCACCTTTCCTTCTCTTCACTTTCTTCTTATTTTTTCCAGTTTGAGTTTCACAACGGAACTGCTTTCTAACGCGCTCAGGACCTGGTCTAGAATCCCGGTGATATATTCCAGAATATGAACTTTCCTTTGTTTTTCAATGACAATTCAAAAAGAAACTAAGTACGACTGTCAAAGTTAAGTAAAAGCTAAGCGATTGCTACATTTTTTAAACTGTGAACACCGATAACTTCAATCACCTCAAGAGACGAATCACAAAAGTATATACTTTTATAAGTATACACCACTTCACATCGGTCTTCTTTAAAGCCGTGATACTTCCCAGAATGAGCCTATTAATTACTGCTACAGCCACGTATTATTACAACATTTAAGAAATTTTGTTGTGCACGGAACTAAAGTTTCAACAGCAATGGCACAAATACATAATCTAAACATAAAGACTCATTTGCGCCATTTACTTTGCCCACTGCCTCCGATGCCGCCCCGACCCTGACATAAGTACCATATAGATGAGAGGCAGCCAAAGTGTAAATCTTTAAAAAAATTTAAAAGTATGTCCTAGGCTTAACGCCGCGGCTTTTGACAAGAGAGCTGGTTCTTTTCTCGCTCAAACTCAAAGGTTATACATAACTATTCAGCGAAGGACAGTAGCTAGCATTCTTGGCACCACGCCGCGTGGGTGAGGTTTATAAGATAACTAGTTGTGCCCGCGACTTCGTCCGTGTGGAATTTAAAATAGAAAAAAATCTAAAATAAAAGTGGCTTAAGTTACTCCTTATTACATCCGCTATTTGCCAGTGAAAGTCCCGTCCAAATCGGTCCAGCCATTTCAGAGATTAGCCGGAACAAACAGACAGACAGCCAGACAAAAAATGTAAAAAATGTTATTTTGGTATATGTACCGTGTATATATCCATATGCATTTAGAAAAAAGCGGTTATTTTAATATTACAAACCGACACTCCAATTTTGTTTATCTGTTTATATGTGTTTGAGCCATATCGTCTTACAAGTCTAACTATAATTAATAAACAGAAAAGTAAAGAAACCTCTTTAGACTTCTATAAGAATGAATATCGTCGTCGAACCTGTGGCTGTCATTCCTGTCAACTTTTAAAAAAGGTACAAGAAAAATTATCAGTAGAACAATGTAAATTGCTACGCAATATGCAAATATAATTAAAACTAATTTATTTGATTATTATACGTTTTTATACTAGAAGATTGCAATTTTATTAATTAATAACAACAACAAGAACAAGAATTTCAATTCACGCGAACAATATGGGTAGATAGATTTAATCTTGTAAATATTAGTTCAATAAACTGTATGATACAAAAAAAACATTAAATAATTATATTC